ATTAAAAAAAAAAAAAAAAAAGAATTTGAGAAGGATAGGTATTAAATCTTCTTTGAATGTTTAGTTGAATTTTCTAGTGAAGGCATCTGGTCCTGGACTTTTACTTTTTAGGAGGTTTTTGATAGTTGTTGCAATTTCCTCATGGTTGATTGGTCTATTTAGATTTTCCAGTTCTTTGTGATTCAGTCTGGAAAAGTTATATATTTCTAGGAATTTATCCATTTCTTCTAGGTTATTGAATTTGGTGACATACAGTCTGTTATATTCTTGTATGATCCTTTGTATTTCTCTTGTGTCTGTGGCTTCTCCTCTTTCATTTCTGATTTTGAGTCTTTTTTTTACCTTAGTGAGTCTAGCCAGAGGCTTGTCAATTTTGTTAATCTTTTCAAAGAACCAGCTCCTTGTTGCATTAACTTATTATTAAATAACAGTCATAGCAGAAGCAGTGTTTGCTGCTAAGCTATGTTACAAGGTTAACTAATTATAACTCTGTTCTTTTTGTAGCGTCTGTTACACACACACACACACACACACACACACACAGTTTGTCAGAGCCAGTTTGTACTGGCTCACAAAAGCCTATTGTTCAATTTTCAGGAGTTTTGTAAGCTGTTTGATGTCAGACAAGTAGCTTGAAATTTGCCATGGAAGGAGTATTTACACAATGGAAATTGGCGAAGGCTACAAATCAAAGCCTTTAAAATTTTTTTCTTGAATAGCTGGTTGTCAAACACTTACCAGCATACCTGTGCCTCAAAGCGTCTCTTTAAATAGAATAAAAGGTTGTTAGTAATGAAGAAGGTTTCAGTATGAAAGTGTGCATGTGAAAAAGAATAAGCTGCGTTTTCCTCTGTGTTATCAGGGATACGGAAAGACCGGAGAGGAGGGAGAATGTTGAAACACAAGCGCCAAAGAGACGACGGGGAGGGCAGGAGCGAAGCGGGCTCCTCGGGAGACGTGAGGGCCGCCAGCCTGTGGCCCAGCCCGCTCCTGATCAAGCACACCAAGAAGAACAGCCCCGCCCTATCCCTGACGGCCGATCAGATGGTCAGTGCCCTGATGGAGGCCGAGCCCCCCCTAATCTATTCCGAGTACGACCCCACCCGGCCCTTCAGCGAGGCTTCGATGATGGGCCTGCTCACCAACCTCGCGGACAGGGAGCTGGTGCACATGATCAACTGGGCCAAGAGGGTGCCAGGTAAGCGCACGAAGCTCGACTTTTCTGTTTCTCGTGTCAGTGACTATTCACGAACTGGCTGCGATGTCACAGGGGAGGGAAGCAGTGGGAAACAAGAGCTTGTTATCTGATTTCAAAGTTACATCAGAATTTGTTGATTTTTAGCATCAGTACACTGTAACTCTCCTGGAAATGAGGAAATAATGTTTTAAAATACAAATCTGCAAGATTAAAGTCTTTAACCTGACATTATTTTTAACCCATGTTTTTCACCAAAAGATGTGGGGTGGACACTATCTGATGATAAACATGGTTAATATTATATGTTGACAGTGTCAACATTTTTTAATGTTAAATGATCTGTGATCTATACATTTTTAATATTGAGGACTTTTGTTCAGAAAACCACAATTATTAATAAATAATTTTACCTTAATTTTTTTTTCCTTTAAGATCTTTGTGGACTAAAGAGATAATAGTAGTTTTCTTTACTGACTGCCAATTATTTACTCAACTCTCTAGTCTTAATATTTTAGGAGAAAGGTAATACAATAGACAAATTAGGTTCCCACGCTGTTCCTGAGATGAGCCTGTAGAAAGATACAGTGGCTGAAGTGACATTGGCCATTCAGTTGATTCTTTTGGATGTAGCTGGCCTTCCTGTAAAACTTGACCGTCACTCTTGTTATTCAGGGACAAGAAATGAGAGTAGGAAGGGACCTCCTCCAGTGCCCCAACATATCCATTCAGGAGCTAACATAGATGACTCAAGGCAAGAGGAAGTTAAATCTTTTTCCTGGTCTTATAGATCAAATCAGCAATGGATTTAGACAGATTGTCTCATTTGGTTTCTTTTAGTTGGTGGAATTAATTATTACCTACGAAGCACAGGATGCTTTTTATTAAACTAAATAAATGTGGAGCTTCTTATTAGCATTTCAGAGTTCACCAATCTGTTGCAGGCCAAGTGAACATAGACCTGGCCTTAGAGAAAGAAGCACATGTTAACATGCGGTTCTTTGAATAAGGAGCCATATATTGTGACCCAAACTTGACAGAGGGCACCCACGTAGGTGGTAGAGTCTGGGCATATAGCAGCGTGGGGTTAACAGGCATGTTTAGTATGTAAAGTCGGTCCGATTGGCTAACAAAAGCTCCAGCCAGCTTTGAATTAAGGGTTTTATTAAGCACCTGCCTATTGTAGCCTTCTCGTGTGAAGCAGATCTGTAATAAGCAGATCCTGGAATCTTAATGTAGTGTGTTTATAGATTTTATCCTAACATTCATTATTGCCTTTTTACATACTTTGGGAGAAGAGAAAAATTAATAAATAATAATACTGGCCTTATCCCTGAGAGTCAGCTTTTGGTTACTGTTAGTTTTATTGCACAAGAGCATATATTTTCCCTCCTGAAGCCTTAGCAATATTAGTTCCAGAGCACTGCTGAAAGCAAATATATATTTTTTATAGTTATCAGTTGATTCCCATCAGGACATTTTTATAATTACAAAAATTTGAAGGGTATTTGGAACAACTGAAATTAAATTCAAATACATTGCCAGTGGATAAAGAATTTATGACAATAATCTTCTGAGTTTAAAAATAAAATGGAGACAGAAATAAAGGGAAGGAAAATATTATGTCCATGCTTAGCCATCTCATCGTTAAACCTAGAACTAAGCAAATTTGTAGTAATGAGACGTGTAGTAAAACCACTCTATAACTTCATTATTGTAGCTTGAAAGACCTGAATGATTTCAAAATCCTTGGACCAAGCTACATCTTGTTACTTGATGGTTTTAAAACACTTATAAAGGCAAAAAGAAAATATATGTGTGTGTGTACTGTTAGGATACAGCTGTTGTAAATCAAAAGCCTATTTGTCCGACCAAGCAGAATAAAAATAGTCATTGATTTTAAAAGGGTGAAAAATGAGAGAGAAGAAAGTCTTCTGTCAAAATTTGAAGATGATTGTTAAACTTTTCAGAAAAACTGCTGAAGTCACATTTTGAAAAGCTTTTCTACATTCAGACACCATCTGCCATTTAAAAAATAGCCCACACTGAAAATCTAATATAGACAATAGTACATTTATGTGGTAATAATTTGAGAACAATAATAGTCATTTTAAAAAGAAGGAATAGAAAATAACATTAGTTAACAAGAGTAGCAAGAAAGTCAATTCTAGAAGAACCTGGAATTAGCTATAGGGTACAAAACCTGCATTGGACATTTAGATAATCCTCAGAATGTCTGTCAATATAACAGAAATTGTGAATTAACTTCATTTTTTAGGAAGTTCAGCAATATTGAGGTGTAATTGACAAAATTATAAGATATTTAAAGTGTACATCATATATATACTGTAAGAGGATTTCCCTCACCTAGTTAATGAAACCCATTTATCTTTTTGTGTGTGTGTGAGAGAGGGAACAGCTAAGTTATACTCTTTAACAAATTTCAGTGATACAATACAGGGTCATCAACTATAGTTGCAGTGTTTTGCATTAGCCTGTTTCCATCTGGCAGCTGCAAGTTTGCACTCTTTTGCCAATCTCTCCCTGTTTGCCCCATCACAGAACCCCTGGCAACCACTTTTCTCTTCTTTATTTCTATGAGTTGGATTTTAAAAAAGATTTCACATGTAGGTGATGCCATGCAGTATTTATGTCAGTCCGTGTAATGCCCTCAGCGCCCATCTATGTTGTCGCAAATGGCAGGATTTCCTTCCTTTTCATGGCTGAATAATATTCCATTCTATGTATATATGCCATAGCTTCCTTACCCACTCACTTGTTGACAGACACGGGTTGTTTCCATGTCTTGGATATTGTGAATATGCCTCTATGAACATGGGAGTGCAGATATCTCTTTGATATTCCCTTTTCATTTCCTTTGGATACATACCCAGAAGTGGGGTTTCTGGGTAATATGGTAATTCTACTTTTAATTTTTGAGGAACCTCTATACTGTTTTCCATAGTGGCCGCATCGGTTTACATTCCCACCAACAGCATACAAGGTTCCCCTTTTTCTACACCCTTGCCAACACTTGTTATTTGTCTTTTTGATAATAGCCATTGTACAGGTGTGAGGTGTTATCTCATTGTAGTTTTGATTTGTATTTCCCTGATGACTAGTGATATTGAGCACCTTTTCATGTACATATTGGCCATTTGTATATCTCCTTTGGGAAACTGTCTATTCATTTTCTTTGCCAATTTCTTAATCAGTTTTTAAAATTCATTTATTTCTTTTTTGCTATTGAACTGTATGAGGTCTTTATATATTTTGGATATTAATCCATCATCAGATATATGATTTGAAAATATTTTCTCTCATTCTTTAGGTTACCTCTTCCTTTTGTAGATGGTTTTCTTTGCTGTTTAGAAGATTTTTAGTTCGATGTAGTCCCATTTGTTTATTTTTGCTTCTGTTGCCTTCACTTTTGGTATCAAATCCAAACAAGTATTTCCAAGACCAACATCAAGAAGCTGACTCCCAATGTTTTTTCTAGGAGTTTTATAGTTTCAAGTCTTACATAAAAATGCTTAATCCATTTTGACTCATTGGTTGTTCAGAAATCTCCACACGTATAAAATTTTCAGTTCTTCTTGTAATTGATTTCTAGTTTCATGCCATTATGATAGGAAAAGAAATTGATATGACTTCAGTCTTAAATTTTAGGGCTTTTTTTGTATCCCAACATGTGATCTATACTGGAGAATGCTTCCTGTGTGCTTCAGAAGATTGTGTATTCTGCTGCTGTTGGATGAAATGTTTTGTATACGTCTTTCAGTTACATCTGCTCCACCTTTATAAGTGATTTCCCCACCAAAATTACTACACTATAGTTCACTATAGTCCTATGGGTCTCATGGATGCAAGCCCCATTGGTTTTTGGAGCTAAGTGTTTTAGGAGTGGAAGTCTTAAAAATTTAGGTGCTAGATGTTGGGCTCAAAACCTTCATTTTAGGAAGAAGCTAAGGGTTGTGAGTTCTTTCCTGATCGTATGTCACTGTACCAGGGATGGAGTTTATGGCAAGAGTGTGTTTTATAGTCTTTCCTACCCATTTCGACATAGCTATTTTCTCACTTGCCCAATATGTAGAAATTTCTTACCTAGTTTCTTGGATTTTTTAAAGAGGGAATTTCTTGGCAAATAGCTATAGATTTGATTCTGTCTGTGGGAGGATGTGAATTCAGAAGTCTCCTATGTCTCCACCTTGGGCTGGAGCCCCTAATTGACTTCATTTTGCGTGATGAATTTTAATAAAAATAACACATTGGACTATTTCAGTAGCTCTAAAAGTATCTTGTTTTTACTAATAGAGTTTTGTCAGAATTTTCAAATGTTGATGATTATAAATTGAATTTTTTAATCTCTTAATATCTGGAGCATATGTTTTGACTTGATATATATCTTTACTTAAATCAAGATGTGGAGAGCATTATGATAAAATATATTATGCAAGTGTGATAGTCAAGTTCCAATTGTAAAGTACTTATATTTGACCTGGTTAAAGATCCCATCAAGAAATTAATTTTTTCTCCTTTGCAATTTACAAATAACAGCAGCAATAAGAATGCTAAAACTTGCCTACCCAGCTCTGACAAGGGATTTTTTTTTTCCAATTCTGGAATGTAAAGCTCTTTTTATTTTTATTTTATTTATTTATTTATTTAATTAATTTATTTATTTTTAATATATCTTTATTGATTTCAGAGAGAGGAAAGGAGAGGGAGAGACAGACAGACAGAAACATCAATGATGATAGAGTTATTGATCGAGCCCGCAACCTGGGCATGTGCCCTGACCGAGAATCAAACCCCGATCGCCTAGATCTAGGTCGACGCTCAACCGCTGAGCCACGCCTGGCTGGGCAGTAAAGCTCTTTTTAATTAAAGTATAGTAAGGGTGTTTTTTTATAAGATCTGTTACATATCTGCTATGTGATATCTAGCTCTAGAGAAGGCTTTTCTCTTTATTGTTTGTTCTGAAATTTGTTAATATTTAAAAG